CCCAGGAGGTCTCCCATCCAGGTACTGGCCAGGCTCACACCTGCTGAGCTCCAGTGGGGCTGCCAGTGGTGAGTCGCAGGGAGCTCTGACTGCTGGTACAGGAGTGAGAGTCTGGCAGTGTGGGGCAGTCTGTGGAAGAGAGCGTCGAGCTGAACGTGGCACAGAGAAAGAAAGGCAGGTTGACAAAGTGCGAGTCAGCCACGCGACCTCCATCCACCCACTTCCGATCTGCTTCATGCAATCCAGGGTCGCAGTGGAGCCGGAGCCTCGGGCTCAAGGCGGGACACAGCCTGAACGCGACACCAGTCCACCGCAGCTGCATAACAAAGGGGGACTCGTAACTTCCACCCCGGAGTCGCTTTCAAAACGGCAGGTGACGCACAAAATGCATGCCCCTTAGGGCTGCGAACCTGATCGCCAACACGCATAAATAAAATATGAGCTTTATTATTCCTTCTGTTATTTTGGCACGCTCGATGACATGCATTAAAGGGGGGGCAAGATTGGCAAGTGCAGAGCAGCTCGGTATTAGAGTTACAGGGCCAGAATTCCCAATGTGCTGGTGTGAGGGCAACACCCTCCCCAGCTAGCAGTTCAGCCTACAGCCTCCCGATTCATCGAATCCACTGCAAAATAATCATTTCTTTTTTTTTTTCAATATACCGCCGCAGTGATGTTTTCTCTCCTCAGTTGAGGAAAGGGGGCCGGCGCCATTCCCTCCTCTGCGTCCTCAGAACCCCAGCAAGCAGCGGGCACTCAGAGAGGATGATCCAGCAGTCACGGATCCAGCTGCGAGCCGTTTTCGGAAACCGAGGCACCAGACTGATGCAGCCCGATCCAACAAAAACTACGACCGCTGTAGAAACGGACACGCCCCCCCACAAGATAAACCGAAGTCCAAACAAGGTGTCAAATCACTTAAGTCATGACTCAGCACTGGAGATGTAGAGCTCATGAAGACCCACAGACACAGTGTTCCTCCACTCCCCTCTTCTGGGTACAAGGGATCAGACCCGGGCAGCATACAGCACCTTAAGGACTGAACACCTAACGAAATAAACAGGACACCTTTACCCAACGACGGGCAGCAAACCTGCCTTGAGCAAGAAAGACAAAAAGACATTTCGGGTACAAACTCAAGGAAAATTCAAGGATAAGGTGTTTTGTGGAACTGAGCGTGGGCCTGCACAAACACACCAGAGGAATAAGAGGACCCAAACAACCCAACAACAAGTGTTCAGCAAGCAACTATTGTGGAGAACTGTCATGACAAGGGAATCTTATTCCGATTCTGTTCCTGGGAGCGTTTCCACTGGCCCATGATCCAACAGCCATGGCTTGTCAGACAGGCTAGACCGATACAGCCCTGATGCTGTAGAAACAGACACCCCTCTCCCATCAGAAGACCAACACGTCTCTCGCATGCGAGAGGAAATCAGACACAAAGCGCCCTGCAGCTCTGACACCAAACCACAGCTGTCACCTCCTGCACGCGAGAAAACAACAGGATTTCTGGTTTGGTTTGGCGAAACAAAGCCCTTGATCCAGGAAAAAAAACCCAAAACACTTGCCGACGTTCAGAAAAAATCTCAACCGTCCCTAACCGTGAAAGAGCTGCATCTTGAGTGGAGTGTTGCATGAAGTCACCTACGTTTAGTTCCAAACTAGATATTTGTCCCAGGCTCACCTCCTGTACAAAATGCTGGTAATAAATTTTGCTTAGACATTATCAAACGTCCACAATAGCAGGTCCTTCCTGCCACTAAGTCAAGCACAGTAGCTGTGTACATAATAAGGGAACTAGATGAAATCAAACGTATGATTGTTGTGTAATACGGTGCAGCCTTGTCCAAATGCACACAATAAGCACAGTGTCACTGTCAAACAGCAGTCTTCTGAGGCAGTTACATCAATCGCAAATGCTTTTTCTTAACGTTTGTTGGCGTGCCCACTGTTTTTATCTCCCATTCTCGGTGGGACACTGACAGC